TTGTAAAAGGAATTCCACCATAGGCAGGCAATTATTATGTGACTATAACTAAGTGATATGAATGGGATAGTTAATAGCTGCAGAAGAGAATGCAATTTGTACAAGTTAAGTGCCAAATTCTATTACATATGTATCTTATCAGTAAAACAAAACAACATAAAACAAAACAATAGGATTCACACAGGATTTGGAAAACAGTCATAAGAACTCAATATACATTTAAGTCTACACTTGGATTAAAAGCGATTTTTTAAAGCCACAAATATTTGTAAAGTTCTTAAACATTGTTATTCATTTATTCACTAGTCATCAGAATTAGCAGAATAAAATGAGGACTAGATTAATCGTTGGATTATGTCAGATGGATTTAAACAGTGGATTTAATCATGTTGGTTTCTCATTTAAAAGATCTGGATACTCTTCCTATTTTCCTGATTTCAGCTATTGTTTATGTACAGAAGAAGTGATTTGTTTCATAATGGCATTGAAATATTATAAAGTTGCTTAGACCAGTAGTTCTCAAACTGAGTAACTTTAAGATTCACAGACTTCAACTCCCAGAATTCCCCGGGCAGCAGGTGATAGATAATTAGATAGATAGATGATAGATGATAGATAGATAAATAAATAAATAGAGAGATACAGGGGTGAAATCTAAAATTTTTTGCTACCGGTTCTGTGGGCGTGGCTTAATTAGTGGGTGGGGCTTGGTGGTAAGGTAACTGGGAGGGCATGGCTTGTTGGTCAGGTGGGCGTGGCCAAGTCAATGTCACTTCTTTGCCCTTTTTTAACCTACAAAACACAACACAACACAACTGGCTCACCCACAATATTAAAGCAGCTGTGCTAGACCCAAAATGGCCCCTGCAACAAGCAGGAACCTCACACAGCCAGAAGAAGCCCAAAAAACCAACTTTCACACTTTACTAAGGTGACCAGACATCCCGCTTTTGGCGGGACAGTCCCGCTTTTGAGCAATTTGTCCCGCGTCCCGCGGCGTTTTAAAAAAGTCCCGATTTTTCATTCTGCCTCCTGAGTCCCCGCTGATGGCTAGAGGGAAAAAAAACTGTTTGAACTCTTGCCGCGGGGCTCAGGAGGCAGAATGAAAAATCGGGACTTTAAAAAAAAAAACCTTGGTATATTTGCGGCGCAAGGCAGCCCTCGTTCCTGCCGACTCGGAGCGGTAAACAGCGTCTGGTTCAGGGAGCAGCCGGATTTTGCTCTCCATTGCTCTCTCGGTCCCCTGCAAGCTCTCATCTCTCGAGAAGCCCAACCAAAGTTTCCCGCGCCATTTCAGGGAGCGTTCCTCAAGAGATGAGAGCTTGCAGGGGGCCGAGAGAGCAATGGAGAGCAAAATCCGGCTGCTCCCCGAACCAGACGCTGTTTACCGCTCCGAGTCCCAAGCGACAGGAGAGGAGGGCTGCCTTGTGCTGCAAATATACCAAGGTGGAATCCTGATGCCGCCCTTACAGCGGAGAGAAGAAGCCGGATTTTGCTCTCCATTGCAGACACCAGATCGTAATGCACCACCTGCAAAAATGCGAAAATTTCCAAATGTAGCCCTGCCCTCTTACAGCTCTCCTGATGTTCAACTGTTGTCTCTCAAGGAGGATACTTGGCCAGCCTCATGCTTGATGTCTCCCACCTTGGCAGCTTTAAGACTTGTGGACTTCAACTCCCAGAATTCTCCACAATTCCCCAGAATGGGCTCGGCGGGAGTTGAAGTCCAAACGTTGTAAAAGAGCCACAATTGCCCAGCCCTGGGCTAGGGTAGGCTGATGCCGCGCGGATGTGAGGAGGGGCGGGCGACCCAGCAATTAAGTTGTGGTTTGGAGGTATATACGGGGGAAATTATTTGGTTTATTATTATTGATAGATATAATTAATTGATTTGTAAGAAATTGGATTGCATGGAAATAATTGGAATATTCATGTTCATATTGATTAATATACAAAAAAGATAGTTATATAACTAATTGATTTATATTAAAATGTTGAATTTGTATTAAACAACTGTATTACATAATTACATAATTAACCAATGTGAGGATGGATATAAAAATAGATGACAATGGGAAGGGGTATAATATAGAATAGAAGGGAAAAATTGAATTTGATTAAGATTAGAGATGAGGATGAAGGGTAATATTGGTTTTTTTAAAAAATAGATGAGGAATAAATATGGCAAAAAGGAAATATAGAAATTGTAAATTTAATTGAAATGACTAAACGCTGTTTAAATTTGTGAACCAGCCAAATATTCTGTTCAAAGAAAATACATTGTATGTTTGTATGTGTGTTTCTAATTACTGCTATTTATTCATATTTGTTCTCTTTTATGCTTTAAAGTTTAACAATTCATTCTTTATCTTAATATCTTTATATTTGTTTGGGGTTGGCTTTCTTCCCGTTCATCTTTTTTATTGTACAGCAATCTTTCTCCTCAAACCTACCACCTCTCTCTTTTCTTTCCTTCTTACTTTCTTCCCCCCCGCTTCTTCTCCTCCCTACTTCCTCTTCCTTTCTCCTTCTCCTCCTCTCTTCCTCCCTCTCTTACCCTCACTCCTACTCTAATTTCTCTTCCTTCATCCCTCTCTATTGCTGTATCCTTTAATGCATATGGACTACTCAGAGGGCTGAAAAAGTTATTTTTGACTGGTCCTCACACTTTTGACCAGTCCTCGAACTTACGACTGTCCTCACATTTTACATTTCTGCCCTATCTTGTCATCATGGTAAAGAGAAGCAGTTGTGAAATGAGTGACATGGTTGTTAAGAATGCTGCCATGGCATAAATATGAGGATGGTCATAAGTGTGAGGACCAGTCAAAAGTGCGAGGACCTGTCAGAAATGACTTTTTTCAGCCCTTTGGTTAGTCCTTTTGTGCATATGGACTACTCGGAGGGCTGAAAAAGTTATTTTTGACTGGTCCTCGCACTTTTGACCAGTCCTCGAACTTACGACTGTCCTCAAATTTTACGTTTTTGCCCTATCTTGTCACCATGGTGAAGAGAAGCAGTTGTGAAATGAGTGACATGGTTGTTAAGAATGCTGCACGGGCATAAATGTGAGGATGGTCATAAGTGTGAGGACCAGTCAAAAGTGTGAGGACCTGTCAGAAATGACTTTTCAGCCCTCTGAGTAGTCCCTATACACATAGCCATGGCCACCCGGTCACATGACCAGCTAGCCATGCCCACCCAGTCACATGGCCTCCAAGCCACGCCCACACAATAAGCCACGCCCACAATGGTGTCCTTCTTACCAATGTTAAAATCTGTTCACCTTACCCTATACACATAGCCATGGCCACCCGGTCACATGACCAGCTAGCCACGCCCACCCAGTCACATGACCAGCTAGCCACGGCCACAAAATAAGCCACGCCCACAATGTCCCTCTTTACCAATGTTAAAATCTGGTCACCTTACACTTTACACACACAAAATTCCACATACAGCTTTGTGAGATTTTGTGTGTTTGTGTAGTTAGAGTGAAACACTACAGAAACACACTAAATCTCAAAAAGCTGCACAAATATTATTTTATTTTAATTTATTTTTATATAAAAGCAGCTAAATTTAAAACTTCCTAAACTTTAAATGGCTAGGTCTAAAAAAAAAACAACTAAAAAAAACCCCCCACAAAATAAGCCACGCCCACAATGTCCCTCTTTACCAATGTTAAAATCTGGTCACCTTACACTTTACACACACAAAATTCCACATACAGCTTTGTGAGATTTTGTGTGTTTGTGTAGTTAGAGTGAAACACTACAGAAACACACTAAATCTCAAAAAGCTGCACAAATATTATTTTATTTTAATTTATTTTTATATAAAAGCAGCTAAATTTAAAACTTCAAACTTTAAATGGCTAGGTCTAAAAAAAAAACAACTAAAAAAACCCCCAATTAACTATTTTTTTAAAGCTCCCAAAGAGGAAAAAAACTTACCCAATAGAATAGGGGTCTCCAACCTTGGGAACCTTAAGACTTGTAGACTTCAACTCCCAGAATTCCTCAGCCAGCTTTGCTTTGCTGGCTGAGGAATTCTGGGAGTTGAAGTCCACAACTCCCTGCCTGCTTGATTGCAGGCAGGGAGATTCAGTTGCTTGCTGATGCAATGGATTGCAGGGATTACAGCAAGGCGTTGCGACCAGCAGCTAAGGTAAGCAAACTGAGGGGGGGAGGGGGAGGGATTTAGCAGGCAACTCAGCTGGGGTCGTCAGAGCTTGGATCGTCAGAGCCATTTAAAAGGAAAAAAAGGCTCTGATGATCGCGTGGCTCAGCTGGGCATGGGGGGGCGGGGGTAGGGATTTTTGCCCGCCACCATTGCTACCTACTTGCCCGAGCCGGTCTGAACCGGGAGCATTTCACCCCTGGATAGATAGATAGATAGATAGATAGATAGATAGATAGATAGATAGATACATAGATGGATGGATAAAGATATAAAGATAAAAGACAGATTTGCATTCCTTATCTCACCAACTAGCCTACCAGCCTACCAGATACTTTTCCATCCACATTTATACATTTGGAGTCCTTCTCTCAGGTACATGGCCGGTTCTTAAATATGAAAAAATAGATAAAAAAAATTTAAGAGTTCATTGAACTTGTAATTAGTTTTGCTTACATGGAATGCAGGGCAGGAAAACGCTTCATTTGGCCCATTGATCCAGGCAACAAAATAACTGCAGCCTTAAATTCCAAAAATATCTCTTCTGCTCACGTTAGTGATGCATGCCTGAGTTCTGCTTGAATGTTCAAAGAATGCATATCGGGGGCAGGGAGGACACAATGAAGATTCTGTAAAGGACACCGACAAAAACATACCCACCCACCAACCCACTCATACACACGCACACACACGCACACACACACACACACACACACACGCACACATGAGCTTTCCTAGAAATGCCATTTAAGTCCACTGTAACAGAATATCCCCCCTTTTCCTATGGCAAGATTACCAGGACATAGAAAGAGTCCAACTCATCTTACTGTATTCTTTTAATAGAAGTGCTCAAGATTTCAATTTGGACATAAATCACTGCAATCAATAGACTTATTCCCAGATAAGCGTGCATAAGGCGGAAGCAACCATTTCTGTTTTATAGGTAGAAAACAAATTGTTCTGCAAACACTTCTTCTGTTAGTTTCCCCAAACATTACTCAACAATCAGGGTGAAGAAATGAGGGCTCCGGGAAGAGGGTTGAATAATGTTTTTGGGGTTTTTTTTTTGCTGAATTCTTTTAATTATAAGGCTCATTCTGCTTGACAGTTTTAGTCATTTCCAGCCACTGAACTAATACCTTCCCATCTTCTTTCTTATTTCCCTGAAGAAGAAGCTTCCAGCAGAAGGTCCATTCCACTTCTGTGCTCCTCAAAGTCTGCAGTGACTTCATTGCATGCAAAGTTGATTCCACTGACATCTCCAAATGTCTAGAAAATACAAGATTCAGAGTGACTTACTGTGGGCTATTTCAGAGAACTATTATGTCAGATCAAAGAGAGCTGGAATTAATATATACACTCGCAATTGAAGGCTTAAATACACGAAGAGGGTCTAGTCACACCCACCTTTGCTTCCACGGGAAAATTAAATATAATAGAAAGAAATCGTAGGGTCAATCTTTTTCTTTTCATAGGATAATTGGCAGGTAGGAAGGAAAAAAAATTCATGAAAATATATATGACTCGGTTTTGAAGATCTTGAAGATCTGAAGAAAATTATTCTGGTTTCACAACTAAAATGTGATCTGATCCACTGCCATGTTACATGTGGATGATGATCTATAAGACCTACTGGGAAGAGAGTTTATGTGGATCTCAAGATGAAGCTAATGGGAAAGTTCTTCCCATGGAAGTGGCCAGTCAGCTCATGTGGCCAGACAAGAACAGGAAGAAGTTACTGGTGATATGGGCAAGCCATGGCAAATTCTCCCAAAAAAAAATCCATTACAAAAATTAAAGAAATAGAGAAAAAAAACTTATCATATTTTTACATTCTAAACCAGGGCTGTCAAACTCGTGGCCCATGGGTTGGATGCATCACATGCTGGCCACGCCCATGCCTGGTTTAGTGAAGGGGAAAAAAGTTGCAATACATTATGTGATACCACCATGACGATGAGTTTGACGCCCCTTTTCTAAACCAAGGATGTCCAACCTTGGGAACTTTAAGACTCATGGACTTCAGCTCCCAAAATTCCCCAGCTAGCATTGCTGGCTGGGGAATTCTGGGAGTTGAAGTCCAGGGGTCTTAAAGTTCCCAAGGTTGGACACCCAGGTTCTAAACCAAAAGCTTCCCAATCCAATACTCCTGAAGCTGCATCATCCATGTCATTTTCCAGAGTCCACAGCAGTCTTCTTCCCTAACTATTTAGAGCAAGGGTGGGCAACTGTGGCCCTTTTACAACCTGTGGACTTCAACTCCCAGAATTCCAAGCTGGCTGATTTAGAGGTTTAGAGGTTCTGGCTCTTGAAGTACCACATATCCAAAGGGCACCTGAACTGAGTAATTCGCAGGACTCACAAACCACTGTTATTAATGTAGCTGGCTGGGATCACCTTCCTACCATCCACTCATCCTTGGGGTGAAGAAACTCTGAAACATATTGATGAAGCTGGAATGCAAGTTTATTAATTTGGATCAGTTGTTTATGGATTGGTTTACAATTTTGGCTTATAATTTATACTCTCAGACTATCTTTTTTTATCCTCTAGTTCCCAATCTTAAATATCGAAAAGATGGAAATAATACAAATAAACATAAGTATTTTGAAGCTGTGCTGATTTCAATGGAAATAGTTCAATATATTAGTCTGTATGCCACCAAGAGTGTGGTGACTATATGACATACAAATCTTTGTAAATAAAGGAATGAATAACTTCCACATTCAATTTTCCATTGAAATTAATGAGTTCAGCAGAGGTTTTAAACTATGCTGATACTGATTTACATATTCCAGTTTAATGGATATTACCACAATGTTTAGATGTGCTGTTACAAACATCAGTTTTGTAATGTTTGTAAAAACTGACATATAATAAATTGTAGCATGTCTCAATATATCTCAAATCTGCAAAGGTATTGGACATAGCCTGCATATTAAATTAATTGAAGGCCAAGTCATTGTTTCTAACAATGACTCAATGGCAGTAACCTTTTATAATTAATCAACTTCTCCCAAAAGTTCACTTCACGGTATAATTATAAAAGTAAGCAAAATTATAATTGATGCAGTTTGTCAATCTGTGTAGCTGGAAGGTACTTTTTGAAAAGGTTATGTTTTCATTTAAGTAAATTGAATTAATATTGCTTTGGAACTATCTTTGACGTTTTATGATTTTTTTAAAAAAATAAATTTTTAAAACAGCAATACCGTATGCTAAAGAAAATTACAAAGATTTATATGCTTAAAATATTGCTTAAACTTATGATTGAGGGCATACATTTGGAAGGCGAATGAAATCAGACACAAAATCTAATCTGATGGTATCTGTGGGACAGACGTAGCAAGCTGAAATTTCAAGCTTGTGCAAGGTTCCTTGCTCAAATGACGCAAAACCATTTTTAAAAATCCATAATGTTATTTATAACATGCAATAGAGAAGCTACCCTACCTTCATAAATTAATCTGTATTTTTAACAATCTAGATTGGCCAAAGTGCAGTGCTTCCCGGCTCAAGCTGAAACAAAATTCAAAGGGATCCTTGAGTGATTTTCTGAGGTGACTAATGTAAAGCTTGCGGGCATCATTGCCTCTTTCCTTCCCATGGAGTAGTAAGTCCACCTGGCCCATATTCTCAACCTTCTCTTCCTTCTCTTTCCTGCCTCCCTCAAACACTGCTCCCACCACCATACTTGCTTATGCATCTCTTCCTTACTGAGATGGTCTCTGCAGGAAGAACAGCCTGCCAGAGTAGCATATGAATACACCACAATTCCATTCACCTATCAATTTCCCCCATATCTTCATTTCCCCAAATATTTAAAATATCTACATTATGGTCCAGGCATAGCTCAATCAAATGTTCTGTGCATGGGAATTTACTGCATAGAATCTGTAGCGCTTTCCCAGTTTTCTGTATCTCTTCACTGACATTCCAGATATTTTTGCTAAAATATTTTTGCATACATACATACATACATACAGGTTTCCTGTGTTGGACTAGAAGACATCCAAGGTCCCTTCCAACTCTGCTATTCTGTTATTGATTTTTTTATAAAAAGTTTTTTATTTTTCGATTACGAAGATATAAACATTCCATCTTTCCTTAAGCAGTGTGTCGGCTGGGTACAAGCGTCTCTGTGCAACTTCTTTCACCATTTGCAACATCATTCACATTAACATTAACATTATTTCTCTAAACTTAAAGTTATAATATATTAAACAATTAAACATTGTAAAGCTCTTCATTTTCTTCTTAATATCTTCTAGAGATAATACCATATTAACATTAAGCATTATTATTCTCATCATACATGTACTAACAATTTTCATCTTATTTATATCTCTATCTTAATGCATTTTCTACTAATTTTTAGCCTTCTTCATTTCCAAACTCCTGTTTTATTCTCCAACCATTGATAAAATACTTCCCATATCATATAATATTCAGTTGGTTCTTTTTCCTTAATTGCTAATGTTAAATCTGTTCATTTCTGCACATTCTAATATTTTCCTAATCACCTTCTCATCAATGGGAATCTCTTCATTTTTATTCTGTTATTATGATTCTATGTTTGTGTAGTGCATTGAAAATATTAGGATAATGCTTCTCAAAGAATGGAAGAGTTTCTATCTGCTTTTTTCCCTTACGGTCAGAATTCTTGAGATATATCTGACAGTTTTCATTGATATTTGCAACTTTAGCTTGAAACAGTTTGGAATTGTTTTGGAATTCCTCTTTGGGAATTTTTCAGCAGTTCAGCTGCAATTGAATTAGCTACATGAGAGGTTATCTAATCATTGTTATTACTCACTGATTTAGAATCTATTAGAAGTCTTCATGCTTCTTTTAAAATGCACGAACTAGTGATGTTTCATCTATGGGCCTGAAACCACTGATCTACTGCATCTGAGCACATTATTGACAAAACCAAGCTCGCTTTGTATGTGCCCAATTTCAGCGAAACAGTTTCTCACCAGGCATTTAGTTAATCAGAAACAGAGCTTCAATTCTAAACATTGAGCTTCAAATCTAAACAGCATGAAGTTGCTAGGTTATTTTTTTTCCCTCTCCAAAATAAAATATTAGATAATGATCTTATTTTTCAAAGATCATCAGTAGCTGTAAACAAGTACCTAACTGAGAGCTGTTTTACACGCTATTATTCCAGGGGAGAAAAACAAATAGCTCTTCATTTGATAAAAGCAGTTTTTCCTCAAAGAGACACAAAATATTCATTGCTTCTGAGATTAAATATCTAAATATTGCTTCTGAAGGAACAGCTGTCAGCTTAAATCTAAAATCTAGTTTGTTTACCAATCGCATTTTATATTTGTTAGAAAATGACACCAAATGGCAATAACATTGAAGAAAGTGTTCTGCTGGGGAATAGATGTGCCCTTTGGTTATAGTATACGCATCTTGATACAAAATGCCAGTATATCTTTCCTAGAATTATGTTAAATATGTAAAAAGCCTTACCCTATAAAGGTAAAAATGCTGGATGAGTCCAAGCTATAATTTAGCATTAGTGTCAAGACCGTTTCAGAAAATAAGCTACCATTACCGTTTCATTCTTTTTAAGTGTCACTCAGCATACTGTATCTGATCTTGCATTCAAAATAAGCCCTTGATGAGTTTATTCACTTTCAAGACAGAGAAAAGAGCTGGAGCTTCATTCACAGTGTATGGATGGATGTAAATGGCTTTGCAAAGTAATAAACTAGTAACCTCCCTCCCTCCAGTAGAGAGGGAAAAAAGAGAATAGGATATCCATTTAGGAGAAGTTTCTGTTGATTCAAGCAGCACATACATGTTAAATACAAATAATCCCCCATGGAATACTTAATCCAGATGATGATGGAGCTTTTCCTGATCAGTCAAAGAAATGATGACATTTTGAAAGATACAAAACTAATACAAAACTTTCCATGGCTTTCTCAAACTAGCCTGCAATGCTACTTGACTCAGCCTCCAGTCTCTGTCACTTTTTATGTAAGTCAAGACACTGAGATATTTTCACCACAGAATATTTAACAGAAAAATATACCCAGTGCTCCAAAAGACAAGAACAGGCCCCTCATTGGAAAACAATGAACAGAAAAAATGCAGCCTTTTAAAAACACTGCTGTTATTTACATCACAACAGTGGTGGGATTCAAAATTTTTTACTACCGGTTCTGGGCGTGGCTTGGTGGGTGTGGCTTGGTGGGCGTGGCGGGAAAAGGATACTGCAAAATCTCCATTCCCACCCCACTCAGGGGAAGGTTACTTCAAAATGCCCATTTTCTCCCAATCAGCTGGGACTCAGAAGGCAGAGAATAGATGGGGGCAGGGCCAGTTAGAAGTGGTATTTACCGGTTCTCCGAATGACTCAAAATTTCTGCTACCAGTTCTCCAGAACTGATCAAAACCTGCTGAATACCACCTCTGCATCACAAGTTTTAATCCACTACATTTCTTATTTCTTTTTATAAAAAGCTTTTTTTTTCAAAACAAACACACATACAAACAAAAAGACAATACATTTTTTTCTGAACAGAGTATTGGTCAAGTCAAAATTTGTACAGCTTTTAGTTTTCTCCAACACAATTTATATATTTCACTTTTTGCCATAATATTCTTTCTCTCTAATTTTTTGTTTTATTTTCCTTCTGTTTCTTCTGGTATATTAACAATATTACCATTCGCCCTAATCTCTAATCTTGATCAATTTTTCTTTCCCCCCCCCATTACTTTTTTCAGATTGAAACCCTTTAATTTAAAGTCAATCATTTTTCTAAAACCTAACCCTAACTCTAAATCATCTTATTCAAATATTTTCCCATTGCTCCTTTTCACAATATAATATAATTTCAAATATTTTCCCTAGATTCCTATTACAATTATAGATATTAATATTCATACAATTTGACATATGTAACCCATTTCCTTCCCTCTTTTCCATTTCTTTCCTTTATCAGCTTATCCAAATATACAATCAGATATATTACTGCAATTCACTTAAGTATATAACATTAAAGTCATTCATTTCTATTTCTCAATTCCAGTTGTTTTTAAGATAAATCCAATTTTCCATTCCTTTTTCAAATACGTATACAATCTACACCTCATCATAATAAACAATAATCATGATCAGTAATATTTCTCCCTCTTAAAAAATAATTTCAAATATTGCTGTCTTAATCTCTTCATAATAAACAGTAAACAAAGTCAATTTTCATCTTTTCCCTTTCCCTTCTCCTCTTAGAGTAAATAATCCATTAATCCCTTTTCACAATATAATATAATTTCAAATGCTTTAGATGAATTCCATTATTACAATTAAAGATATTCCAATTATTACAATCACATATATGAAACTTACTACAATTCATTTATAATTATATTTCTACTGCAATTAAATTTTAAATTCCTCCCACTGCATTTAATCCGGCCAAGAAATTGGATTATGCAGTTCTTCCTGCACCAATGGATAACCTACCAAACTAGTTTTTGGTGCTGATATAACTCATAGTCTTTCAACCACTTCTCTTCTCTACGACATGTAGTCTTCCATAACTAAGTGGCAGAAAAATAGCTCTCTTTAAAAAAAGAAAAAAAATCTAAATTGAAAACATTACAAGCCCTTCCTGTCTGTATCCCAGCACAGCTATGCAATCATAATGGCACCAGAAGCCTGGCTTATGTAATTGCTTTTATGGGGCCAATAAATACTTTCTACTAGGGAAAATAAAAATCGTTCTCCAGCTTCCTTTGTTCATAGTTGTATGTCAATTGTTTTTCTTTTGGAATGTTTTTAAGTTTGATGTAGCTGTTCTGATTTGTCAGAATTTTTCCCAATAGAACTGCTCAAGAACTGACTCATTCAAGAACAGCTTCAAGCTGAGAAGTCCCCACTTCAAGTTCAGGAGACTTCCATTTTGAAATCAAAACAGCCTTTTAAGACACATTAATATGAAATGCTTTACATATCTCTATTACTTCATTGTCAAAAAAAGACATACAAAATAGTGTATGACTCTACATTGTCTCTTATTTCTTGGAAGAAAGGTTAGAGACAAGCTTTAAAAAAAAAAAGCTGAAAATCTGGGGATCCTCTTATAGTGAGATAAGCAGGATATGGAATAAAACTGAGATTGGCATTGGTCATTTTTGTATTTAGTTATTTCCTAGTTCCAATTTAAAAATACAAGGGTTGATTCATGAGCCAGCAACTACAAATGCCTAACCAAGAGATTAAGGAGGTTTACTGGAATCCAAGGGCCTGGATAGTTAGAAAGTTTTGATTATTGTTTTTGTTTCACTCTTTCCCATTTCTTTGGGTTTCCAGAAGTTTCCCTGCCCTAAAGAAAAGAAAGAGGCAAGCCTTAACAATAGGCAACTAGTTCATTGCCTCAGAGACAAGATTTGATTTATTATAAAGTCAGAGAAAATGATTAATTATTTATTTTGTTTCTCCTTTAAAAAAAAAATGCCTGGAAATAGAAGAGATCATGGCTTGCTGAGGCTACTACAGGTAGTCCTTGACTTATGACCATAATGGAGCTTGCTCATTACAGTCATAAATTGGGACAGTCGTAAAGCAGGTTGTCGTGACAATTTTGCAAGCTTTTTTTGTGGTGGTCATTAAGTGAACATCGCAGTCCTTAAGCAAACTAATTGTTCACTATGAGCTAGTCTTTTTCAAAACCCAAAAGTAAATGTGATTTTCCACAGAAACATCATAAAATGAGGCAGGGGTGGGTTCTACTTACCTTTATTACCGGTTTGCAGCGGGGCCGCGCGTGCGCTCTTCTGTGCAAGCGCAGAAGCTTCTGCACATGCGCAGAAGCGTTTTGATGATGACGGGGTCGGTGGGCGGAGTCTCCCGCCGGTTTTACTACCGGTTCTATAGAACCGGTGCAAACCGGGGGCAACCCACCACTGAAATGAGGTCACCTGACCATGAGTCACTGCAAATGCCTGTAAATGTAGATTGGCTGCCAAGTTCCTTACATGTAGTAATGTGACCACAGCGGGGAGGTGGCTGTCAGAACTTTGGAACCGGGTCATAAGTACCCCTGGTGAGATCCATCCTAACTTCAAACAGTTATTACGCAACTAGTCGGACATCGGGGCCTACCTGCCTTCAGCTTGGTTGGTTGGAGGACCAACTGTTGTTTTTTTCTCAGGCAGCGAATGGTTTTTGGATCAGCCCATCTTTGCAAACATTTTTTTCAGTTAAAATTTCATTGTATGAAACGAGAGTGCTTGTCCTTACCTCAACAATAGCCCCACCGGGCAGTCTTAGGAAGTGCCTGTATAGTTCTTGGAAACCCCCAAGATGAACTGTATATATCATTACATGAATGGTGACGCCTCTGGAGTTTCCTGCAAATTTCAAATTTGCATCTTGTGGATGGACACCGCTGCAGGAGATTTGGGGCTGCTTGGCATGGTCTTCCCAGAAGTATTCATAGACAACCACCTTTCGAGACAGAGATCCTTGGGTTAATTATTCATGCCTAAGGAACAGCTTAGCTATCACCCAATTATTACAAAAGTAAAATAATCCTATCACCTATAGAACACAGCATCTGTAGTGAAGTCTCCATCTTTCCCAATTCTTAAAGTGTGTCATGTGGTGAATTTAACCATTTCCCCTTTCTTTATTTACTCTGATAAGAGGAAGGAAAGGCACAGAATTCATTTTAGGAGCATGCCAGGGCAACAAGAAGGCTCTGGGGATGGTGAAGTCACGAGCAGATTTGGAGCCATCATGGCAACAAGACCTGCAGAGATTTCGGGAAGCGGTAAAGAGGAAGATTTGCTACATACAGGTAGTCCTCCTTATGACCATAATTGACTCCCAAAATTTATATTATTAAGCAAGACAGTTATTAAGTGACTTTTGCCCTATTTTATGGCCTTTCTTGCCACAGTTGTTAAATGAATCACTGTAGTTGTTAAGTTGGTAACACAGTTGTTAAGTGAATCTGGCTGCCCCATTGCTTGTCAGAAGGTCACAAAAGGTTGATCACATAACCCTGGGACACTGCAACCGTCATAAATACATGCGAGTTGCCAATCATCCAAATTCTGATCACGTGATCATGGGAATACTGCAGTGATCATAAGTGTGAAAAATGATCATAAGTCACTTTTTCAGTGCCATTGTACAGTAACTTTGAATGATCACTAAACAAATGGTTACAAGTAGAGGACTATCTGTACTGATTCTGTGGAGCCTGCCAGGAACTACTGGATTTCCTAACCCTAAAAATGTAGATATACAGTAAATACATATGTAAAAAAAAAGTATGGTATTAGAGCTGTATATATTTCAAAAATGATTCAAAAGAATTGGTTCAGATCTCAGTCAAGCCCAATACTATCTCTCTGCTATTCATTAAACCAACCCATATGTTTTCAAGCTTCCATGCAAGCCAGGATTGGGGGGGGCGGAGTTTTCGCTTCTCCTAAATGATATGTCCATTCATTACTGAATAATTCAGAAGGCAAGTTTGTTAAGAGGCAGGACGGTTGATATCTAACATGCCTGAATAACCTGAAGTAAATGCCAAGAAGACAGCTCTGGTGTCATCCGACATCTCTATCATTAAGTTAATCAAAAAAAGTCCACTCATCAATTCATAGGCCAAATGTGGCCTCTTAAATCTGCTGAGACAGACTAGTCAAGAAATGGTGCATATCAGTCATGTCAGAGGCACTGAAGACAGTGAAGATCTCAGTTCACAAGAGCTGACAAGAGAGCTCAAAATGCCAGAACAGCATCCAGGAGCCCTTTCATGAAATCCATCCTTCAGCAAAAAAACACATTAGGGCAGTAATTCAGTGATAAGAGGCAGGCTGGAACAGGTTCAAAATGCTGAATATTTCACAGTGCTGTTAATTAAAAGAGGGGTGCCCTGCTTTTAATTGCATGATAGCCATTTCAATCTGATAGGAAGACAGACACAAATGTCCTTGTAGTTGGTTTAGCTTGTTATGATGACAAAATGTTGTTTGGATCGAACACAATTTAATAGCAGTTAAAGAAGGCTTTTCATTTCGTATTTCCTATTTCTCGGGAAAGAAAAGGTAGAAGGAAACTGAAACCTGTACACACACTTCAGAAAGCCTCACAAGAATTTTGAAGGCTTTGTTTTTCCCTTCTGTGATGGATTTTTGTCAGGGGTTATGTTTTAGGTCCTCATTTACCTCAGTGGTGAAACTCCAGTGCTCTTATTTCACAAGAACTGCACACACACACAAAAAGAATTTGCATTGCATGTCCTTCTAGCTTTCATGTGCTGCTTGATTGCTACAGACAAACAACTAGCCAATATTCTTTCTATCCAAATTTAACCGAGAGAGAGAGGGGAGGAAAAAAATCTTGAACATTTAAAAGTTGCATATTTGATGTTTCACTAGGAACGTGGGAGAAACAGTATTTGGTTGACATTTTCTTTTTCAATGAGAAAATTGTTGAAGCTAATATTGTTGACTTCAGCTTTGTATTAAGACTTTCAATGATGTATCTTTTTGTCTAAAGGTGAGGTAGAATATAACGGCTGCCATTCTGGTCTTATAAATGAAGATCAGCAGATTGGCCTAATTGTAATTTTGGACATAACTCCCGTATCCAAACTCTACAGGTAATTCTCAATTTACAACCATTTGTTTAGCACCAAAGTTATAAAAAAAATGACTTTTGGCATTTGAGGGAACCGGTCTTCAACATGGCTGGCACTATTTTTTATGGCTGGGAGCGTCCGGCCGCCCCAGACACTTTGATGATCACTATTTACGTAGGACTCTTGGGTACACTTGGGAAAAGATTAGAAGAAGAGTATATTTAAAAGTCCCATGTTGGATTTTGGCACAGGAAGCTCAGTTCTACCCGACATTGTATAAAGGGGGGAAAACTTTGACTTATGAAGTCTTTTTGGATGCTCAGGGTAATCCGAAGTCACGAGAATTATTAACTCTCCAAGGATATAAGATAGACTGATGGTCTTATTCCCAAGTGCACTCCAGGTATAAAAAAGATTTATATAGTGAAGGAATTTACCGTAAAAGACAAGAATTGGATAAGATCTTATTAGAAGGATGGAAAGGGGTACTACCTAAATGTTATGGATATTTATCGTCTCTGCAGATAGGACAGGATGTAGTGAAGGATTGTATGATAGCGTGGGGGTGAAATTTTGGATATCCCCTTGACTTCCAGCAATGGGAACAGATTTGGTTGAAAAATATGAAATTAACCATGGCCTCCTCATATAAAGAAAACATATATAAAATGGTCTACCGTTGGCATCTCCCCCCTGCGAGATTAGCTAAAATGTTTCCCGGGACATCTTCCTGCTGTTGGAAATGCAGTTACAGTAATGAAACTTACTTTCATCAATGGTGGACCTGCCCGCAGGCGGTTAAATATTGGAAAAAAATACGACAGTGGATTTTGGAAATTACACAGATCAATTTGGAATTGAGGCCCAAGATTTTCCTGTTGGGGGCAAAACCTTTGAATGTTTTTTTTTAAATTTGATTTATATGCCGCCCTTCTCTGGAGACTCAGGGCGGCTTACAATGCATTAAGCAATAGCCTTCATACTTTTGTATATTTTATACAAAGTCAGCTTATTGCCCCCACAAACTGGGTCCTCATTTAACCTACCTTGGAAAGGATGGAAGGCTGAGTCAACCTTGAGCCTGGTAAGATTTGAACCTGCAGTAATTGCAGGCAGCTGTGTTAATAACAGGGTGCTTTAAACCACTGTACTACCAAGGCTCTTTTATGTTAAATCAGGTATATGGTTCTTGTTGATTCATATTATTACTGCAGTAAGATTAGCGTTTGAACAGGAGTGGAAAAATCAATACTTACCGATGGATTTGAAAATAATATATAAAATTAATGAGTGTGCGGAATCAGATAGTTTAACTAGATTGATCAATGGTAAAAAAGATTCAGAATTTTATAACAGTTGGAAATTATGGTACGATTGGGTCCAGAAAAGGTGGGATAGAATAGATATATGATGGCAAGTATGTATCTATAAAGGAATGACTTTATATTTATGGACAATGTACTCACATTACACCATGGTGGCAGAATTGTATATTTCATTTGTGTATTGATGCATAGAATATATTAATAAAAAAAATATTTCGAAGTTCTTTAAAAGTATAAAATTATAAAAGTAAATGTAAGCCATATTTCCAGATTCCTCTCTCCTTTCATAGAGAGACCCCTCTTTATTAGAGTACTCTAATAAATTTCTGGTAAGCGATTTTCTGACTTGGATTGGAGAGAGTGTATGGAGACAGAACCTAAGGTCAGATTTGGCCATCACTACCCAACTTGGTAGAAAGTCTTACAGCAAGCCAAAGAAGACCAAATCAAATGGAGCCAATTAAAAACCAGACAATTGTTAAAATTTAATCAGGGCTCACACTCATGTTTCCAGATGAAAATTCTGTTCATCCTGGCCCACTGCCAAAGGTAGTAACCCGCCTTTCTGAAGACCAATAAGGTTGGACCCAATTGAAGACAGGGTATAAAGTTGCTTACATTACAAAAGGGCGGATGCTTACATTGCTTCATTGAAGGACCCAAAGTGTGCCCACCTTGTTAAAATATGTGCACTAGACAGATACCATTGGGGGGAGGCAGTCCTATAAATAACCTAGTATTATGCCATACAGAGTTTACAGTATACGTATATTGTACCCAGAAGCCAATAGGGAGCCAGTGTAGTTCGCAAGTTAGTGGAGTTAGGTGGGCACATTGAGATAATCTTACAATCACCCATGCATCTGGACTCTGGACTAATTGTAGCTTCTAAGTTGTTTCCTAGGGCAGCCCCTTAAAAAGCAAATATAGCAGCCCAGACAAGAGATGATTGTCATGAGTAAAGAGCAAATCCAGGAATTAGTGCAATTAGGGACTTTCTCAAAAGACCTTCTGGCAATATCTGTCACTTCAGCAGCTGAGAATCAAGGAGGATTCCTTGAATACATCTGAATGGAGGAGGGCTTTTAGAAGATGGAATGTCTCCTGATGTGGTATCTGGGAACCCCAAGCCTACAACCATTGGATCTTGATTGGACTGAGCTGAACTCTCTAATCCTATTCAAATCTCTCAATCTTTAGGCTCTGGAACAGAATCTTGCCTTCTTCAGGGGCAGAGATGTTCAGCTGAATATTATTAAAGCACTGATGATCTTGCACACAATGCTGATGGATGACCTTTGCCCGCCACTTCCTGTAAAAGCAGCAGCAAGGGGATGATCTGGGGCAATCCACAAAAACAGGGATCTAAGGCTAGATCACTCCCTACCAACAACATCAAGTAAAACAAGCCCTGGAGGAAGGAGGGGAACCACTGTAACTTTGTACATCTCATCTCCTGAACTAGCTTAGAAAAATACCATTATATATTTAAAATATACTTATTTTTGAAGTGTTGAAATACCAAA